CTTGGACTATCTTGCTTTGCATGTAGTGAGTCTATCTCATATATTAGTTTCACCTTTAAAGTTGCATTACTGAAATAAAGGAACTTTTGCACGATATTCTAATTTTTCGAGTTTCACCTGTATTACAGTTTGAATTCATGACAATAAACACATTCTCCCCGAGCTCAGATCGGCAAAACAAACAAACAAAGAAGTCCCTGTACAATATCAGGTTTATATTTATCTGAAATATTTTGAGTCTTTGATTTTTCATTTCAACAGGACATTATTCTGTCACAGATTCTAGAACCCCTTGAATTAGCTGTTTGTTTCTGTTTATTAATTGGTATTCTTAGCTTATATTGCTTTACATATTTCAGTGCTGTGTACATTGCATTGTACATGTAATTTTTGGGTGCTTGCCATTCAGGTAGTAGCTTGATGCAGATCCATTTAGCTCTAGAGATGAAAGTTCATCACCAATATCTACAACCATGTGATGTGTTACAGTTTAATGAGTAACAACACCTCCACAACTTACAGCAATTAGGGGAAATTGTTAGGATTATATGATATGTACCAAATCCGCAGAGAATAGCATCCCCAGGCAACCTGCTGCTCTCCAATATTTTGATCCACAACTTAGCTGGCCATTTTGGCTGAGTTCAAGTTTAAATTCAAAATATATAAAGACCATTAGATCAGTATCCCTTAAAGAGGAAGGGCAGTTTTAAATATTCTGTTAAAGAAATATTGCCCATGTCAGCAGGTTCATCTTTCCTTTTTGTAAAATTCATTGCTAGCATATATGGAATGAGTTTGATAGAACTACATTTACAATCACTAAATTATTTTAAATGTTATTTCCAGGGAGAACGTGGCCATCCGGGTGAAAGAGGGACCCCAGGATCATCTGGTCTTCAGGGGGAAAAGGGTATGGCTGGAGGTCAAGGTCCTGATGGTCCAAAGGTAAGCAGTGTCCATATGTACTATAAGTGGGTATGCATGTCTGCACACACCATTTGTCTCCATATATAGAGAGTGGATGATGCTTACAGCAGTGTTCATCCAATCAAGTAGTAAAATAGAGATATGGACATTCTTAAAATGAGCTTGACTCCTGGTAACTGCATCCATGAAGGTTTTTTTTTGGATGATGGTGGTGTCTTTCTCTGGAATGTTTTTCCATCTTCCTAGACTAGCCAACAAATCTGGAATTTCTAGGTGGATGCCTACACAAGGAACAAACAGTAGTTATAATAAATCAAGTTTTGTACAGCTTAGGGTTTTTGTGGATGTCATTAACTTTATTTTAAGATGGTTGACAAGTTCGTTTTAACATTATAAAGTAAAGTAAAACTAGAATAAAGTAAAAACTAGAAATTTTGTTTATTTACTAATATGGAGAACATACATTAATTAAAGTAGAGTTCCTCTAAAGAACATATCAATGAGATTATATAAGTGATGGTATTTTGACATATTACAATCATTTTCCTGTGGATTTATTTTATATTACATTTGTTCCCAATTTTATTTGGAGAATAAAAGGGCTAAAATAAAGACAAAGAACTCACATTTATACATACATTGACAAACAAATCAGGTTTGTAATCCTCAATTGTCTGAACTTACAACATTTTTGACACCTTTCAGGTTTTAGGAGGCAGATCTAATTGAGATCCATTCTGAAATAGCTCTGCTGAACAATCACATTCAGACAACAAAACATTGGTTAAGCCACAGTTTATATAACACCAGTGCATTGCTGTTTATGGCTGATGACCTGCATTTTGATGGCTCATAAATTGAAGAAATCTGAGATATTTTTCCATTCAGAAGAAATGTGATTCCTTATGGTACATCCTAACAGGACATTCCTGTGTTCTGGAGATGAGGAAATGCACCCATCTTAAAAAAATGCAAGGAGGGTCTGTCCAATAGATAGATAGAGAGACCAATAGGATCACAAATTTGTTCCTTTCCCCAAAATTACTTCCTCCCCTTTAACTTCCTTTTCCTTTTGTTCAGGGAAATCCAGGCCCTTCAGGAGCATCAGGAGATCAAGGCCCACCTGGTCTTCAGGGAATGCCTGGAGAGAGAGGCCTGGCTGGAACACCTGGCCCCAAGGGTGATCGGGTAAACTTTTTAGAAATGTCCATGACTTCTCTTTTCTGTAGGAGGATTTTCTTTTCTTTTCTACACAACCTTACATCTTTATATAGTTATTTGTAAATGACTTTTTTCTTATGCTTTTTTCAGGGCAGCATAGGAGAAAAAGGAGGTGAAGGTACAGCTGGCAATGATGGGGCCAGAGTAAGTGGAGAGTCCTCTTTTTATGCTAATAGTGCTGGGTCTTAATGAGAGATTATAACTAACAGGTTGCAATAGTGGTGAATATCTGTAATTTGGGTGTAGGATGAGGACGGAGGTTCATTCTCCAAGCTTTTGGGTTGGTTTCCGAACATTTCGTGACCAGGCTAGGTAACATCTTCAGTGGAATTTAGGGGATGTTAATGTCAATGTTTATAATGGCTTGTGAGAGTCTTGTGATGGGTCAGCTGTGAGTCATAGAATAGAACAGAATAGAATAGAATAAAATTCTTTATTGGCCAAGTGTGATTGGACACGCAAGGAATTTGTCTTTGGTGCATATGCTTTCAGGGTACATAAAAAGACAATATACATTTGTCAAGAATCATAAGGTATAACATAAGGTACAAATAAGCAATCAGGAAACAATCAATATCAATATAAATCATAAGGATGTAAGCAACAAAGTTACAGTCCTTCAATCATAAGTGGGAGAAGATGGGTGATAGGAATGATGAGAAGACCAATGGCAATAGTAATGCAGCTTTAGTGAATAGTTTGACAGTGCTGAGGGAATTATTTGCTTAGCAGAGTGATGGCGTTCGAGAAAAAACTGTTCTTGTATCTAGTTGTAGTTCTTGTATCTAGTTGTATCTAACTGTTCTTGTATCTAGCATCATTTTGAGGGTAGGAGTGGAAATAATTTATGTCCAGGATGCAAGGGATCTGTAAATATTTTCACGCCCCCCTTTTGGACTCATGCAGTGTACAGGTCCTCAATGGAAGGCAGGTTGGCAGTAATTGTTTTTTTCTGCAGTTCTGATTATCCTCTGAAGTTTGTGTCTGTCTTGTTGGGTTGCAGAACTAAACCAGACAGTTGTAGAGGTACAGATGACAGACTCAATAATTCCTCTGTAGAACTGTATCAGCAGCTCCTTAGGCAGTTTGAACTTCCTGAGTTGGCACAGAAAGAACATTCTTTGTTGTGCTTTTTTAATGACGTTTTTGATGTTAGGTGTTCTTTTTAGGTCTTGAGATATGATAGAACCTAGAAATTTGAAGGTCTCTACTGTTGATACTGTGTTATCTAGTATTGTAAGAGGTGGTAGTATGGGAGGGTTTCTCCTAAAGTCTACCACCATTTCTACGCTTTTGAGGGTGCTCAGTTCCAGATTTTTCCGGTTGTACCACAAGTCTAGTTGTTCAACCTGTCATCTGTATGTAGTTTCATCATTGTCCTGAATGAAATCAATCACTGTTGTATCATCTGCAAACTTCAGTAGTTTATAACAGATGGATCGTTTGAGATGCAGTCATTGGTATATACAGAGAAGAGAAGTGAAGAGAGCACACAGCCCTGTGCTAATTGTACAGGTATCTGATATGATTTTGCCTAGCTTCACCTAGAGTCATCAGTGAATCTTATGATGGGTCTTGTGATAAGGAGATTACATCAGGTCCAGGTTTGAAACCAGGTAATGAAACCAGGTAATAGAAACCAATCCCAAAGCTCAGAGAACGAATCTTCACTCTCAACTAATAGCGTATTGCAGCATATTTTTGATATCACGTACTAGTAAACCTGAACTGATTTGTAGCAGGAGCTCACGTGCTATAAATGTTTGAAGGCACCAAATTCTATTCCAAATAAAGTTTTGTTCTGATTTATTAGGGTTCTTAGATCTTCCTCTAGCCTAACCTCATGAATATCAGTGGTCCAGCATGGCTTTCTTTTCTGAAGAAAGTTAAAAAAAAAAAAAAGAGCTTGTACAAATCATGAAAGATTGCTTGTCTTATTAGAATTATTATTGTCTCCTAGGGACTCCCAGGTCCATTAGGCCCAAATGGCCCCGCAGGTCTGGCTGGTGAAAAGGTAAAACAGTTAGTAAAACTATCAACTATCCAGTGGGTTTATTATTATGTTATAGTACAACTTTTCAGGATGATATATGATAATATCTAATAGCCTTTTCTTTAATTTAAGGGAGAACCCGGTCCTCGGGGTTTAGTTGGCCCTGCAGGCTCTCGTGGAAATCCTGTAAGTAAAGAATCACATTGTCCGAATTTTCCTAAGTTGGATGTTGGTATTGTTATTATGCACAATGACAATTTTTCCCCCACTGCTTTTTCTGTTTACCACTCATTCATCCTCTCTTTCTCTCTTCACCTTCCATAATACTGCTAATCGAAAAAAATAATAATGACTGCCTATCAATTTATAATAGAACATATCATTTTGAATGTAACTGTGTAATATTTAAAAAAAATATTGCATCAATTACATCATATATTAAGGCATCGTAATTCTATATACCATATATTCTTGGGAAGAGTCAGATTGCCTGTTTTAGCATTTATAGAATTCCAGTAGTGGTGATGATGATTGAAACTTTTTAAATATATTAACAAGATCATCTATACATCTATATGGTTGTGTGGTGATTGATACCATTAGTTGCTTCTGCAAAACACATTCTATAAATGTATTTAGCATACAACCAGTTTATTTTATTTTTAACCAGAGTAAATCATGAACTGCTGAAGTTGCATCATAAAAAATAGCAAAAATTGTATGCTTTTAACATTCTTTTGGAATGTCTTTTTTTTTTTTTCCTCCTAGGGTTCCCGTGGTGAAAATGGCCCAACTGGCCCAGTTGGATTTGCTGGCCCTCAGGTGTGCAGCTTCTTTGAACTATTCTTTTTTTGAACCTGTGATTTCAGAGAAGGAGAACTATGTTGCAAGGCTCTTAAACACAAAATCTGTACCGGGCCTTTAAAAAAAAAAAACATTTTAATCAGTTAAAAATAACATTCATCACGTAGGCTTAGAATAGATGAAAGAAACGGATTGGTCATTTCTCTGAATGTCTCTAGGGCCCTGATGGTCAACCTGGTGTGAAAGGGGAACCTGGAGAACCTGGTCAGAAAGGAGATGCTGGATCCCCAGGACCTCAAGGTCTTTCAGGTTCTCATGGTCCACCAGTAAGTAAAAATCTCATTGAAAAAAAAACCCTTCTGGTTCCTATCATTTGGTGCGGCAGCTGAATGTTAATCTTCCTTTTCTTATTTCCACTCAGGGCCCGCATGGAGTTCATGGACTCAAGGGAGGCCGTGGTACAAAAGGACCCCCTGTAAGTTGATTGAGCAAAGTTCCTCTGAGTAAAATTCTAGCACTTATTTTGATTGGGATGTCTATGACTTTCTTAGCACCATTGTCTGTTTCAGATATGATGTTTGAGTCTTTATACAATAAAGAATGCTTGTCAACATATTAATATTTGCTAGGTCCCATGTATGTCAGTGGTGGGATTCAAAAATGTTTAGTACTGGTTCTGTGGGCATGACTTGTGGGCATGGCAGGGGAAGGATACTGCAAAATCCAAATTCCCTCCCCACCACACTAACCTGCTTTTCAGCTCCATTCTCCTATGGAGGGGGTCAGCTGGGAGGCAGTGGTGGCAGGGACAGCTTATTTGCCGGTTCTCTGAACTACTCAAAATTTCCACTACCGGTTTTCCAGAATCTGTCAGAACTAGCTGAATACCACCTCTGATGTATGTTCATTTATTCCTAGGGTGCTACAGGTTTTCCTGGATCTGCTGGAAGAGTTGGACCCCCAGGACCTACAGTATGTTAGATGTTTAATTAGATATATTACAGTAAGGATTTTATTTTTAAAAGAAGTATTATAAAACAATGCAAACGTATCAAAGATCAAAAATTTTTTTTTTAATATCATGTGTGTGTCCCATTTTGTGTTAAAATAGGCAGAGGGAGAAAATGTATTTTCCTGGTATTGCTGAACTAGAACTCCCATTCATAAATGCCCCAAAAATGGTGTGGGGAAGGAAGGTTGGGACTTGAGATTCAGAATCTCAGGTTCCAGCCCTTGAGATAAGATGTCAATGTGTTATAGCAGATTATGAATTATATGGAAAAGGTTTCTCCACTACTACCCTACTGGTGCTCTTAGGCCGTCAGTGGTTCTCAACCAATAGTCTGTGAACCCCTGGGGGAACTAGTGTCAACACAGGAGATCCGCAGAAGCTTGAAGAAATGTTATGATTTCAGTTTTGAGTTAAGTCTTGGGAGTCCATGAACATGGTCTGTGGCCACAAAAGGTATTTAAAGGGGATCTGTGGTGAAAAGATTGAGAACTACTGGGCCAAGTTATTGTCAAGTTATTGTCCCTCATTCAGTGCAGGATTGTCTGAGACTAAAAAGGTGGAAACATGGGCATCCACAAATGGTGGATGAATACCTGCAAGTTGATGAACATGATGTCACAACTGGGCTGGAATTTCATTTGCAATACCGTGACCAACAACTTGCAGATTTTTAAACTCTCTTGGTATATACTTTTAGGGGGAAAGATTATACCAGTATTAATATCAATAAAGATAATATAAATAAAGTTACACACTCTGGTTTATGGCTAACGCTGCACAATTCATTTCTTGTAAGATAGATTTTATTTATTTCTTTATTATTTATTGAGTGTGTCACTCATCTACAAGATAACATGAATAAGAACACAGGAAATTTCTACAAATGAATGGGAACATTAGCATAGGGATGTTAGGCCCACTGGTGCTAAAGTGCTATTTCACTTGGAAGGAAATTCTACTTGGAATGCATGAAACACTATATTTAGAGGTTGGATCAATTCTATCACCTGGCTCAAGACTGTACAAAAAGATTATTGGGACTCTAAAACTTTAAGGACTATCTTGCATTTTAAGAAAAAAAATTAAGCGTGCTATGTGTATTGTTATATTGAGTAGTAAGTGAATCTTTATTGTGGTTTTTGTCCTGCTTGAGAATATTTCGGCAAAGGGATAAGAAACAGTAATATTAAAATCCAAATTAAACAAAAGAGTAAAATTATTTGCAGTATGTAAATATTGGGGTCATACCCAGTTGTATTTAATAATTAGGGAGTGTTTGACAATAATCTAATGGCAATCTATTATGTTTCCAATGCATGTAATATAGGCAACATGATTATTTATTAGAAAAGTAAGATGAAGAAAACTTAGAAATATATAATACATTTTTCTGAGGTTTGGATCAGGTCTAGAAGTGATCAGTGTAACAATGAAAGACTATTGATAAAATAGGAAGCATCCTAGCTATGCTCTAGAGCAGCAATATGCTATAAATGCAGTAAAGAAGCGAAGTTATGTCACTGACCTGTCTGATTTTAACAGAAGCTTCTTTTTTCAGGGAGCTCCTGGTCCAGTTGGGCCTCTTGGTGAACCAGGCAAAGAAGGTCCTCCAGGTATTCGTGGAGATCCTGGTGGTCATGGTCGAGTAGGAGATAGAGGCCCAGCAGGACCATCTGGTGGCCCTGGAGACAAAGGAGACTCAGGAGAAGATGGACAGCATGTAAGTAGAGGGAGAGACTGGGAAGTAGAGAAAAGTTTGTGTTTGCAAACGAAATAAGGAAACTTTCCATTCTAAACTTTTTCTTGAACCCCTCAAGAATTCAATTACTCATATACCTTTAGAAGTGAACCAGAATTATCTTATTACCAGGAGCGACGAAGCCTACAAGAATATATATTTTATGGTGATATTTCTAATCTGTGATATGGCTGCCCTTTTTTTGTTTACTAATGCTTCTAATTCTCTTTTGACATAACAACTCCTGCTTTTTTGTTCTGCACTTTTTTCTCTTTCGTCCATTCTAATTCACGGGTCCACTCAGGCCTTTTTTCAAAATGAAGACTCTGCATTAAAGCTAAAGAAAATAATATTCTTTATCGTAACCCACAAGTGCTAGACAACTTCTGGATAGGCCCTGGATAGCAGCAGAGCGTTAGCGCTTGTATTTCTTTGCTGCTCTATTGGTTGTCTGGATTTTTGCAGCTGAGATAGCACTAATTTTTAGGAAAGAGTAGAGGGAAGCCTTGATTTCAACTCAAAATGCTGAGGATCATTGAGCCTTTTTCTTCAATTCTGCCCCCCATCACTTATTTTAGAGCAAAGAAACAAAAAACATACATTACAGCTGAAGCTTTCAGCGGCATTAGATTTTCTTATCCTTGCTATTTCTTGATTAGCTCAAATGCTAAACTATGACACATTGGTTGAATATAAATGTTAGAGGTTGCTAAGTAAGCCCATTTTTGACTTGTGTATTCCAGGGTCCTGATGGCCCCCCAGGTCCATCTGGAACTACTGGGCAGAGAGGTATTGTGGGAATGCCAGGCCAGCGTGGAGAGAGAGGCATGCCCGGCCTGCCAGGCTCTGCAGTGAGTATTGCTACAGCTGGCATTTTTGACTATGCACTCAATTCTGTTCAACTCCAGTGAAAAGAAGAACTGGGGGTGATATGATAGCTGTAGTCCAGTATGTGAGAAGCTTCCACAGAGAAGAGGAGGTCAAATTAGTCTCCAAACCAAGAGAGGGCAGGACAAGATGGTTGGAGACTAACCAAAGAGAGAAGCAAGCTGGAATTAAGAGAAATTTCCTAACAGTGAGGACAATTAACCAGTATTACAGCTTACCTTCAGAAGTTGTGGGTGCTCCATCACTGGAGGCTTTTAATAAGAAGAGACTGGACAGCCAGTTGTCTTCAATGGTATAAAGTGTCCTGATTGAGCAGGGAGGTTGGACTAGAAGACCCCCAAAGTCCCTTCCAACACTTTTATTCTGTTACTCTATTTTACCATTGTAAGAATGTACCTATGATTGAGGCTCATTTAAACTGATCTCTGATTATTTTGCTATACATAACAATCACCAATGGTTTTAATCATTAACATGGTCTCTCTTTTCATGCCAGGGAACTCCTGGAAAACAAGGTCCAACTGGACCAACAGGGGACAAGGGTCCTTCTGGGCCTATTGGTACTCCAGGCGCTCCTGGACCGGTGGGTGATGCAGGGCCAGAGGTGAGTGGTTTTTCATGGGCGGTGTTGAAATAAGAATAGGTTAACAACATTATGGATTCAAATAATTGCTGTGAATAAATGTATACATTTCCAGAACTTATATTCTTTCAACGAAAATATATTTTTATCCCAATGATCCTTAAGAAAGTCAGTCCCAGATGTGGACAAGTTTTTTTCTACTGAAAGTCTTTCAGTAGAAGTTATGAGGGAGGGTAGTCTGTTAGAGGCCTCAGTGTTGGTGGACTAAAGGAAATAGTAGGGAAGAGCTGGATGGTGTCCTCTATTCTCTTTTTTGACATGTTGTTTCTCCCCATCTTTTTGGCATTTAGTTTTTCCTCTCTTTCATTTTTGACTGAAGGAAAAAGGCATAGAGATGCTACTGAAGGTTTTCAATGTTTCTTGTATTCGAGCTGTGAAATTCAGCTGAAGGCTACCAGTTGCCCTTCGTTACCTAGGCTATATCTAGGCATGAGCCGAGGTGGCGCAGTGGTTAGGGTGCAGTACTGCAGGCCACTTCAGCTGACTGCTATCTGCAGTTCGGCGGTTCAAATCTCACCGGCTCAAGGTTGACTCAACCTTCCATCCTTCCGAGGTGGGTGAAATGAGGACCCAGACTGTGGGGGCAATATGCTGACTCTGTAAACCGCTTAGAGAGGGCTGAAAGCCCTATGAAGCGGTATATAAGTCTAACTGCTATTGCTATTGCTATAAAATTTAGGAGGTTGAACAAGAGGCGAGTATAATTGTTTTAAAAAATGGCAAGTATTGTAAGCCATTCTCTACTGGTATTATAATCTAGTTGGTTTTAGTAGTTTCAAAAATGCAATTTAAAAATATTGCTGCATTTTCATGAAATAGCAATATGAATATTAGTCTTAATATTATCAACACAACTTAATTTTGATCGTTCGAGTTTCCTATTATATGTCTGTGATCATCTTGTAATTTCCAAGCCTTTTTTCAAAGGCAATCCCATGTATAAAATATTATTTTAGGACAAATCTGATGTCATAATTAATCCACTTTTCCGTTTCTCATTCAACTTAGGGTCCTGCTGGTAATGATGGCACTCCTGGGCGAGATGGAGCTGTTGGTGAAAGGGTAAGTGAGTTTGAAATTTCAATGAATAAAGCTGTTATTTTCTTGTTGATTTAAAGCAAGGGTGTCAAACTCATATCGTCATGGAGTTGTCATGTGATGTAACGGGGCTTGGGGCTCCCCCCCCTTCACTAAACTGGGTGTGGCCAGTGAATGACACATCCAGTCCATGAGCTGGGAGGTTGAGAGCCCTGATTTAGTCTTATATCACCCTTTATATATTATATTATATTTAGAAAAATCACCATCAGAACTCTTAATAAGGATGACTGTTTTAAAACAAACCCAGTTTTACAACGGAAGTAAAAATGTGCCTAGTCTATTTGTTTTAGATCTTCATGAGTTTAATTTTAGTAAGGACAGGAGTAAAAGGATTATAATTCACCATGTGGCATATAATATATTGAAAGCTAAGATAAATTAGCAGAGTGAGCCCTGCATTAAAATATTGCTATCATTATTGTTATTAAAAATTCTATGCTTCTCTACTCACAGTCGTTCAAAGTGGTGTAGACAGAAAAAACTTGGCACTTAAAATAACAAGGCAGTAATAATCAACATGCTTTATAATAACATTGACTGACAGGTTTAGAAACCCAAATCTAATATCCCCACATTCTTTCCCCCAGAGTCAATTTTTTCTTCATAAACACTCATTAGGGAAGAATAGCTCCTATGTGTGAGGGCAAATTATTCTATGAGGTGTGTAAAAATCTTGCAGTGTTTGCTCCCCTTCAGAAATCCAGCAGTCGGCAACTCTCTTTTCCAGGTTCCTGGATCCCTTCCTTTTGATGTTCAGATTTTTTTTTCCCTCCAACACACACTAAACATGTTCAGCTCTTATTGGACTATTTTGCAGACATGGTTTTATCTCATGACCTTCTGCTGATCCATCCCAGCTATATATGTAGATAGTTGTAGTACACAGTAGCAGAGCCAAGGTGGAGCAGTGGTTAAATGCAGCACTGCAGGCTACTGCTAGATCAGCAGGTCAGCGGTTCAAATCTCACCGGCTCAGGGTTGACTC